GGCATTCCTCTTCTGGCATGTATCCCATTTTCCTCTGCAGCTATAGACGCTGCCAACCTAAATTAACTCATTGAAACATTATGGACAAATTATCAGCCATATTCAAGAATCAAGATAAATTGTATTAAAAAAAACATTTTTGACAACTTTTATAAAAGACATTCCATGGCTTTTAGTCCCCTTCATTTAAGACAAATATATAGGTGGATTACATTTCATCAAGTTCCTCCTGGTTGAAACTAGTTGATACTGTTGCCTGCAAAGAATTTCTGTCTTTCTTAGCTGCAGACCTAAATAAATAATAAATAATTCAAATAATGAATATTAACTCTGATGGAAGAGACATTAAGATCTACAACAGCATATGCAGATTACATTTCACCCGGCTCTTTCACTTGACTTCCTCCTGAATCACTACCAGCAAAGTCCTTCTGATTAGATTTTTTCTGACCCTTATCACTATTCTGCTTCATCCTCTGGCTCTTAATATCATCAGCCAGTTCCTTCAATCTTAGTGCCTTTAACTGTAAAAGAAAACGGAAAAACAAAAGTTAAGGTTGCACTACATAACCAACAAAATATATTGAATGCACCATCACCATGTTAATATGTACTTAATATGCTATATCTGGTCACCCGCCCATTAGCATAAATTGTACAACAACTCTCTGTTTGGTAGTAATGTAACTAAGCAGAGAGAAAAAGAAAATCCAAACCCACCATCCTCAAAAACATAAACAACGAATTGCACCAACATCACATGGATAATCATTTGGGAGAGTGAGAATAGAGCAGAACGAAAACCTTTCCAAAACCACTCACTCATCAATGCATGTGTAACGAGCATAAGGCTAAGGAGGGGAACCATCCCTCAAAAGCCGGCCCAAGAGGTTGGAGAACCTCCCGCCTTATAAGGCCTCCCTGGTAAGGAGACCTCCCCGATGTGGGACTTGTTACATTACCACCCCCTTCGAAAGCCAGCGTCCTCGATGGCTGCACTCCACGGTACTTTACTCACCGGTACTTCACTCGGCCCTTGCCGGTCAGAACCCTCCGGTGGTCAGAACCCTCCGTTGGTAGCCCTTCTCGATTTGGCTGGCTCTCAACGAAAGCACCATTGTAACGAGCATAAGGCTAAGGAGGGGAACCATCCCTCAAAAGCCGGCCCAAGAGGTTGGAGAACCTCCCGCCTTATAAGGCCTCCCTGGTAAGGAGACCTCCCCGATGTGGGACTTGTTACAGCATGGCAAAGCGTGGAAAATCACTTTTAAGTTTTAACTCACTTTCTTACTACACAAATACCCGAAATGTGAATAAATAATAATTTGCAGTCAACTTTCATCCATCCAACCTTTTTCTACTAGAAAGAGAATGTGAAGCAATTATTGTTTTCCTTCTATTAGTTTCACAGTTCACAAGGAAGAGCAAAATGTGGTAAATGATCAAGTAACACAGAAATAAGCACAATTGTCCCTCAACATTACAGAATCAACACACCTTTCCACGATACAATAAACACAACACGCAAGTGAGCAAACGACAAAGAAACATAAACAATGCATTGCACCAGCATCGCATGGATAACCATTTAGCAGAGTGAGAATAGAGCAGAATGAAAAGTTTTTGATTGCCACTCATCAATGCATGGGAAAGCCTGGAAAATCACTTTTAAGTTTCAACACGCTTTCTTACTACAAAATACCCTAAATGTGAATAAGAGTCTGTTTGGATACAAGCTGAAAGAGCTTATAAGAGACTCTCCTGAAAAAGCTCATTAGTTTCGGTTAAAAACTCTAGAAAGCTCTTCCAAGCCTATATCCAAACATGATCTAAATAAGTTGCAGTCAAGGTTCATCCATCCAACATTTTCAAACTACAAAGCGAATGTGAAGTAACAGTTGTTTTCTTTCTTTCTATTGGAACACGATGACCAACTAAGTAACGAAATAGGAAAAAAGAGTGATCGCGGTTTCACGGTTCACAAGGAAGAGCCAAAGGTGGTACATGATTGAGCAGCAATTTCTCGGCGGTCTTGCGGACTTTGGCTTGGGCGTTTTCGCGGAGGCGGCGGCGTGCGATGACGGTGCGGCGCTTAAGGGCAGGGGTTCCGCCGTCGAAGACGAAGACGGGCTTGGTGCGGAGGAAGAGAAGCTTGCAAATGCGACGGAAGAAGCCGAGCAAATGGGCGTTGCGAACCATTTCGCCCTTCTCGTCGCGCATCGCTTTGATGAACTGCACCATCCATATGCTCGCGTCTGAAATTAGGGTCAGCGATTGTTTGATTTGTTAAACGAGAGAGAGAGAGAGATAGAGAAAGTGATAGGGTTTGAGGGAGTACCAACGGCGAGGGTTTTTCCGGCGAGGGTTTCGACGGAGACGCGGCGACCGACAGGGGCGAGTAGTTCCCAGAGACCGTGGACTCCCATTCTGTTGTTGCATCGAAGACTTCTGCTTCAATCGCTTGTTAGTTATGTTATCGCGCCAACCAGCCACGCCTTGCAATACGACTGTGCTTCATGATTTAAGTCGGTTCTTAAAATAAAAACCGTAGAATACATCCTACATTTCATTTTCGTTTTTTTTTTTAAGATATAAAACATTTTAGAGATGATTTCTATGCTTTTAACTACATTGCTTTTCACCCGAGACTAAGTAGTTTATTTTCATCTTCTGTATTTTTCCATCTCCAATTTTACTCCATTTATTTTAAAATTAAAATATTTAACTTTTATATTTTTAACATATAAATTAATTATTAAATTCAATTTTATTTATATTTGTCACTACTTAAATAACATATTTAATAATATATCATATAAAAATAAAAATTAAAAAATAATATATATAAAATTTCTTCTTTTTATCTATTTTTATACGAGTAACTAACTTTTATTTTATTAGCATAAATTTTATTTATATTTTTTTTTTATTTTT